TTTGCTCTGCATAATATGAATTAGGAGATAAAAATTCAGATATAAGTTAAACTTTAATGGATTAAAACTCATGTTTAAATATTTTTAAATACTTTTGTAATTTAATAGATTATTAATTAAAACTTAAATTTGATATTAATAATTTTTAATGTGTTTATCCCTGTATCAGTACGGGTCAAATCTAGTTTAGTCATATATGAACAATCCATTTTTCTCGAAAGGGAGAGAGAAATAGAGACAGATGGGCCTAGTATGGGCTTTCAAATTACGGCCCAAATATTCGTCACGACGGCTCCGTGGAGTGGTGGGATTGTCAAAATCAACTTGATCCGATTTCAGACGCGACCAACACGAGCAAGAGCCACCGTTTCGTCTTCTTTAATCGATCTTCAAATCCAGCAAAGTCTGTTCATATCGATCATCTCTATCAATCTCACTCTTTTCCAATCCTTTGCGTGAAAATTCAAAACCTTTGGTGGTGGTGATTTGCAATCGCCTCACTGTGATCTGCGACTCTGCGATGCGTTTTGGACGAACCTGAAAAATGATCGGAGTTTCGAATCAAGTAAGTCTCTTTGAATCGAATCAAGACTTTCACTGAGTTAAGAAATCAAGCGATCGAGAGTCTTAATTAGGGTTTGACCCTGATTGCGATGGATAGAAGTTGGGTCTTGTCACTTCTTCTTCTTCTATTGATTTTGTTTGTCTCCGATGCTTCTTCTTCGTTTGTCAAATTTCGTGAGTTAGTTGATGAAGATGCACCAAAGGATAATTCAAATTCAACCACTAAACAAGTAAATTCGATTGCTTTATTTTGTTTCTCGTTTGATCTTATGTTGGGTTTTGAACAATGTGTTCAAACTTGCTTTGTGTTCTTGCTTCAGAATCCTTCGTTGCCTATTCATGCACCTATTGGAGATGTAAAATCCAATGTAAGCTCATCAGAGCCTCCTTTGCCAACTAGTAATTCCACGAATGCTACTCCTAAGGAGCCTAGTTCGGTGAGTCCACCTCCGCCATTGGAACCTGAAGCCGAGAAGAATGTCACGACGGTGTTAAATGCAACAGAGCCGATAAGCCCGCCTCCAGCGAACCAAACGGATAGCCAGGATAAGGGAAAGTTACCAGCTAAAATGGCGCTGCCTCCAAAAAGTTTGGAAAGTGGGAAAAATGAGACGGGAAATCCACCTCCGGGTAAAGATTCTGATAAGGTGAATGACGCTAAGGGGAGCTCAGAGCCTGCTAGTGCAGAGACCTGTGTAGGAAAGTCTAAGATATGTAGAACCGGGAACTCATTGGTCGCATGTTCTTTAAGCATCGATAAAGGTACATTTCTGCCCTCTATTAGTGCCATTTTCTTTGACTTTCTATTTAACCTGTATGCAAATTGTTGGCACTGTTAGTGTAGCATTTAAAGTTTGAGCTTTCGATGACTGTCAAGATTGGTAAAACATGTTTCTCTGTTTAAGAATTAAACTAGCAGATGTCTTACATTATTGGTAAGCCTTGTTGTTGAATCAACGACACAAACTAGCAGATGTTTGACAATACTGTGTTGTGTTATTTTGTAAATGATATTTGATCTCAATGACTAGAAACTTTTTTACACAGTATAGCTACTCCCCACAATTTGTATGGTTTCTGCTTTATCTGTCCTGTTTTCTCCTGTACTGTTTGAGTTTATTGAATTTTCATTCCTAAGTGGTGTTGTATTATTGTAGCTTCTGGGACATGGTTGATTTTAGTTCAGAACGAAGGGGGAGAATCTTTAAAAGTAAACGTTGTTCTTCTGGTTACCCCTTTACGAGAGCTGACACTGCCAAAACAGCAGAGTCAAAGGGTACGCGTTTTCTATGTGCTTCCGAGCTAATTCCATTGATAAAAAGTGTTCTCTTGGACATGTTTGTCTTTGGAAGTCTAAACTATTTTGTGATTCTTGATGATACAACGCAATCGACCTTCTTTCACTTACAGAAATTTGACAGAAATTGTTGTCTCTATGCACAGGTGAACATATCCATTAGTAAAGACACAAACAAGATCATATTAGACACTGGAAAGGGACTGTGCGCGCTTCACATGTACCCATTAGAAGAAAATACATTATCCATCCACTTTCCCTCATATGAAAAGCTAGTGACGCCCATTAATGGTGCCTATTTCTTAATAGTATCCGTCGTTATTTTTGGGGGAACTTGGGGATTTTGTTTGTGCCGGAAGAATCGTCGTGCGGGAAATGGAGTTCCTTACCGTGAGCTAGAATTAAGCGGAGGGCCGGGCTTACAAAATGAGTCAATGGTCCATGACGTGGAGACAGCAGACTGGGACGAGGGTTGGGATGATGATTGGGATGAGAATAATGCTGTGAAATCGCCCGGTGGTGCAGCAAACAGTGTCAGCATCTCTGCCAACGGTTTAACAGCAAGGGCTCCGAGCCGAGATGGCTGGGATCATGACTGGGACGACTAGATTTTTGTGTGTTTTATGAGTGGATGGGTAACTATTACTGGAGAGTCAGAACCACTTGGATACAGATTCATGGAAAGACAGACAAAGACAGAGAAACAGAAAAATGGTTAATGTATACGCAATTTGCCTATATAAATCTTTTAAACTTTTTTTTTGACTAAGTTACAGCCTCCCAACTGAAACC